GTTATTTATTTCAGTCTTATTTTTTGCTCTATTTGTTATGTAAAGACTAAGGGCAGATCTGTCCTTTCCATGTAATGAGCATAACCTATAAATATTAATTAMAGTGGCGGCGGCAGAACATTAAGCTTCTTCTCCTCCTTTCAACTCTTGTGTTCTACTGCTTCTCCTCCCTCTTCCTCTTCTTTCCTCTTACCTTTCTTCTTATTTTCGATCCTCAAATCCATTAGGGTTCAAGACTGATAACAGTCCTGAACTTCTACTGTTGGAAAAGGTTTATGTTGTTACTGCCTACATAATCTTGTGCCATTCCAATAATGGTACTCATGAGACTCTGTTCACCATGATGGTAAGCTGAATGCTCAGAGACATAACCTGAGAACTGAGCAACCTTTGCTTCTTTGATGAAGTTTCTCTTGAAAGCACAGAAAAGAATCTTCCTTTGACCAGGTTTAAGGCCGTCAACCATTGAAGGGATTGATCTTTGCAGATCAGCCATTGAAAACAATATAAGCTCCTTGTTGACGAAGTCACTGTACTTGATGAACTTCTCCTTCTGATCAAGGTAAGTACCAGGCTACAAAGCCACCAAGAAAAAGAAAGATTTATGCATGTAAGGATTCATATTCTAAGCTTCTGCTTCCGATCAAGGAAAGATGGTTGTGATAATTGATTTTTCTTTTTTTTTTATCTAGAAAGAGAGATTTTAGATTATGAATGCATATAAGGATTTCCAACCTCAAAATTCCGGAGCCAATTCTTCCGTGCTTCAATTTTTTTCTTGCTAAATGCAAGCTCAATTGCATCCCCATCCTGCTCATTTATCCAGATGAAATCTTTCTTGTGCATGTCAAGATCCTTGAAATATTCCTTCCCTTCTTTTGATGTGCTTGTTCCCAACCCCTGTGGACAGGGCCAAAGAACGATCAGGAATATGTGCAATCAGTTGACTTGCCTAAGTTGGCAGTATATAACCAAATTAGAGGCAGTCTAGTTGAGTTCCTACTTATTTGCACTGACAAACCTTATAGTACTTGATACTCCACCCACTGGCATTTCCCGCCAAGCTTTCCTTCCATGATTCATATTCTGGCATAGAGTAGAAGGATAGGACCCTTCCATTTTTATGAATTGCCTATACCAGAATTAGGAGTGTTGTGCAGCATTAGATATTTTTCTAAATTTAAATTAACATTAGGCCAAACTATCATATACCAACCTTCACAACAGGTGTTATGAACTCCACTAGGAAAGAAGGAATCTTAAGCAGAGATGGCCAAAATGTGTGGATAAAATTAATCAATAGCCCCTTGATATGCGACCCATCATGATCCTGTAAGCAAGGAAATTAGAGTTCTGTTTTATTCTTTTTTTCCAGATGATAGCAAGTGAACCATGAAATAGTCCATTCTCAGGATGAAGTCACAGAGAAATGACAGAAGTTAGACCTAACCTGATCGGTCATTATCATCAAATGGCCATATCTGAGTGACTTGACACTGTCATACTCCTTCCCATGCTGCAATCCGAGAATCTGTTTGATGTTCTGGATTTCTGCATTCTCCATGATCTGCTTGTGATTCGCTTCCCTCACATTGAGCAGTTTGCCTCTCAATGGGAACACACCATAATGGTTTCGTCCCACAACAGAGATCCCAGCCATCTATGGAAAGTCCAGTCAATACAAGCATTCCTTCCACAAATATAATTAAGTTGCATTCATGTTGAGGAGCACTACTAATAACTTACAGCAAGAGCCTTGGCTGAATCTCCTTCTGTCAAGATCAAAGTGCATTTTTCAGAGTTCTTTCCTCCAGCATCATTAGCATCCTCCAGCTTAGTAATGCCTGTGATCCTCTGTCTCTTTGCCCCATCAGTTTTCTTAAGATCCTTACTCTGCTTGAAATCTGCCCATGAGAGAAGATTTTCTACTACTCCAGACTTGGCCACTGCAGCAAAAGGTGTCATTAAACACATGATAAAATTCAATGCCTTTCCAAGACTGTACATAACCTATATGTCCATACTAATGTTAAATTTAGGCTACAAACCTTTTTTCAGGAACTCCTGTGAGAGTTCACATTTTGATCCAAAGCTGTTCTGACGAGTTGTCAATGTCTCTTTGGTCTGAGAATCAAAGGCAGGGTTGTCAATGAGAGCATTGACAAAAACCCACAAATGATTCTTTACAGTATGGGCTTTTAGGTTGGCATTCTTGTTCTTCTTGTTAACTATAGTCATCACATGGTTCGTAATCTGGTTTGTAACATAGTCGACATGAGTCCCACCCTTGATTGTTGCAATTCCATTCACAAAGCTGACCTGATAAAACCAACGCACCCTTAAGTGTGTAAGTTCCACAGTCAAGACTATAAAACAAGAAGCCATTCCATGGCAAAGCTGTGGGAGTGCATTGCCATACAAGCTTTTCTAAGCAATAAAGATCAACTCAAGAAGCAATGCTTCAACTGTAATACCAATGATGAAGAAGAAAAACTCTGTAACGAATTAAAATGAGCATAATTACCTGTTGAAACTGCCCTTCACTTAGACTCACACAGATCTCCCACCTCTCGTTAACTTTCTCTGTGATCCTGATAGAAAATGGAGTCAAATGAGAGGGTCTAAATTAAAAAAAAATAAAAAAAAGAAAGAATTACAATGTAAATAGGTGGGGATTCTATTCATCCTAAAGACAAACCTTGGGAGGGACTCTGGCCTGGTTTTGGAAGCAGATTGAAGGTAGAGATTGACGTAATCAAGGAATGATTTCACAGGTACCCTCTGCCCATTTAACTCAACCTTGACTGTCTTACCAAGACAACCCGCCAAATCAATGACACGCTTTTTCATCAGCGCGAGTACATCATCTTCAAGATGGGTCATATTGAACTTAGCCAAGTCTGGCTTAAATGTAACTTTGGTCCAGTTCTCGCCTTCCTTGCATTTGGTTATGGTGGGCTCTGATTTCTTCCCCATGTTGTTGGAGAACACCTTCACGAAAAGTGAAACATAAGATTTTCTATGAACCCTAAATGGAAAACCAAAAGCAAGAATTGAAACAAGAACAGGAATATTATTGCCAACAGATTCCCTACGGTATTGCCATTTGCCAACAGATTCGTGAGTGATACACTAGATCCATACCAAGAATTTGTTTAAGAAAAGATGCAAACCCAAAATACCTCAATATTCAAGGTTAACATAAACCAGAATTAAGAAAAAAAAAACAAGAAAAAGAATCGATCGAGAAATTAAATAGCATGATCCGAGAAACCACAAAAAATACCTGTTTGTACTTCTTCTGCCTCCTCCCGTCAGCAGTCTGGATAATAAACTCGGTTGAGAAGATGTTGGTCAGCTTCGCACCATATCCATTCCTCCCACCAGTCGTCTTCTTCACTGTATCATCGTAATTACTGCTCGTCAAAAGATGCCCAAAGATCATCTCCGGCACATACACTCCTTCCTCCTGGTGGATCTCGACCGGGACCCCATCACCATTGTTGTACACACTAATACAATTCTGTTCAACATCGATATCGACCTTGACTGAATCCATGGATGGATCCCTCTGCTTATTATCGGCAGCATTTACGAGGATCTCATCAAAAATCTTGTAGAGGCCAGGGACGTAGGTGACGGGTCGGTGCACCATCTCACCACCCTCGTAGACCCAGAGGGTCTGAGTGTGTTTCTCAATCGAGCCAATGTAGGTGTCTGGTCGGAGGAGGATGTGCTCAAGTTGGGACTTCTTCTGGTATGTTTCTTCGATGGTTTTGCCGGGCGCGACCGGGGGTCGAGAGCTGGCAACATTGACATTGTTGCTTGTCTGTAAAGGGAACTTCTTTTCGAAGGCCATGGTGGAGATCAAAAGCTGATGAGACACAGAGATTGTGTCAACTGTCAAGGGAGAAGGAGAGTCGAGAGATCAAACGAAGAAATGGGGAAGAAGGATGTTATATATTGGAATTTGGAGGGAAGAGAAGGGTCTGCCTTAACGGTCCAGTTTTTTGTATTTGAATTCGAACTAGGCGGGTTTTAAACGGAGGGCCAAGATGAGTTGGGGAGGATCAGATGGTTTTGGGATGTATAAGTGGAGTCCCACTATAGTATGACTATGCTTGTTAGTCCCACTATAGTATAGTGGGTTAAGATGACTATGCTTGTTGTTGGTATGAATTCGCATTGGCACCGAGCGCGCCCCACATGCACATCCAACCGTGCATTGGGAACGTCTCCCAATGACAAATGCGAAATATTCCCAATGCACGGTTGGATGTAGTTAATTTGGGAAAAAGACTTTTGTGCCCTTAATTATCCTTTAAATTTTCAAAATATGCAATCCCCTTTTCAACTAAATGTATGAAAGGTTCCATTGGATAAATTGACTTATTCAGTTAATTATTTTTCAAGAAACATTTACTCATGTTGTTTTATTTCCTAATTAAATAAAATAAGATAATGATTATTTTAAATATAAAGCCATTATTAAAATGGACAATTTTATTTTATGATTTATCTCCAGACAATATATCTATAATGAAGTGAAGAAGAGATTTTTTTTTTAAAACGTTATTTACTTGTTGGTGATGACAAATATATGATTCGTCTCCAACAAACATGCTTAGAAATTTATAAAATTGAATTACAAACATAGACTAATGGAGGACTGGCAGATTTACTCTTTTTTCCAATTAAACAGTTGTTGGGAGTAAATTATGAAACCACTTGCAGCATGATATGGTTACTGTACTCAAAAAAAATACAAAGACACCCATATTATGAGGTCAATGACAATTAGCCCCTGGCCTTTCATTTTCCCTAACTTTTACCTTGTGACAAATGCATCCGGCTGTTAAGTTAAACGACGAAAAGCATTAAATTACCAAAATACCTACACAAACTTTCTATACTGACAATTACCCCTGGCCTTCCATTTTCCCTAACTTTCACCTTGTGACAAATGCATACCGGTGTCAAATTAAATGACAAAAAGCATTAAATTACCAAAATACCTACCCAAACTCTCTTTACTTTCTTTCCTCACACATTTTCTCTTAAACCCTAATTGACCCAAAAATACTTAATTAAAATGCATCTTGACTCTCAATGACAAAAGGCATTAAATTACTAAAATACCTACCCAAACTTCTTTACTTTCTTTCCTCACCCATTTTTCTCTTAAACCCTAACTGACTCAAAAATACGTGTATTGTACCTCCATTGCAAAGCTTTGCCTAGTAATTTCAGAGCCTTTGTCTCTAAATCACCTTATAATCGTTAATTTTTTGTTTTCATTCATAGCTTTACCATCTTTTAGAGCTATCCAATATGGTTTTCAAATCTGTCAATTGATGTGGAGAATTTTCTGTTGCTAAAGCAATAAGCTTTTCGTCCTCAATCTGACTTCATTAAAAGTACTAGAGGTTGGCTGGGGAAGAAATGCAATTTGAGAAATCTGATAGAGCTTCTGTTTGTGTGTAATAGATCCCACATAGGTTACTCACTTGTTTTGGCAAATTATCTAAAAAGATTTTGTAGAACCAGGGATTGACAACTGATAATACTTTGAATTTTGCAATTTTCTTGTTGTGTAGAATTTAAATAAATAAGAAAATGATAGTTTGAGGATGCATTTTTCACAAACTTTAGTCACGATCAAGAGGTTAGAGACCAAAAACATGATTTATTTTAGGAAAAATTCTCGATTAGTACCCTGTACTTTGGGCCTAGTGTCACTTTGGTCCCTAAACTTTAAAATGCAACAATTCAGTACCCAAACTTTTAAAACTTGACAATCTAGTACCTGCCGTTAACTAGCTGTTGACCAGTCATTAAGTGGCATTTGAAAAAGACACAAATACCCTTCAAGTGTTATTTAATTTTCTTTGTCAACGTTTCTAAACGTTGACAAAAAAATAACAGTCCCAAATCTTTGCCTTTTCCATTCAATAAAGTTGGGGTCATGTTTGAGTGGGTATTCTGGTGACCCCAACTTTCTTGAATAAAAGAGGCAAGGATTTAAGACAATTTTTTGTCAATGTTTGGATGGTTGATAAAGAAAATTAGATGACACTCAAAGGGCACTTGTGTCTTTTTCAAATGTCACTTAACAGCTTGTTAACAACAGGTACTGGATTTTCATGTTTTGAAAGTTTGCGTACTAAATTATCACATTTTAATGTTCGGGGACTAAAATGACACTAGGCTCAAGTACAAGGTACTAATAGGGAATTGTCCCTATTTTTTAAAACAAAACCATCTTATTTCCACATTCTTGAGAGATGTTCCTGACGTGCAGCTGAATGTCATTCTCTCAGCACACTTTTTTTTTTTTTTTATTTTGCTGGCTACAGATCCCACAATTCTTGAGGATTGGGAACCATTGGACACCAACTCAATCTAATATTGTTTTTTATTATTTTGGTAATTTCCAACCCAACCAAATTTCCAGTTATAGAAATTAATCTTTATTTGCCCAAATCTGGAAATCAATTCATAGCGAATGAATTTAGGTGGATCAAGTGTTAGATAAGCAGTAGCTCTGTAATTAGGAACATGTATAAATTGAATCAATTATCAAAACCAATATTTTTTGTTAATTTAGATGGACTCCGGGCCAGTATTTGATTGGCCACACTACTTTATCCTCAAGAACTTTTGATGTTTAGCTTAGAAACTTCTTATTGCATTTATCTCAAAGCAGTCAAATATGGTCCTTGCTTTGGATCAACTGACATTGGCATTTAAGTAGATAAAATTTTATTTATGCAACTCTTTAATTCTATGCAGCTGTTTTTCTTTACATCTCTTTCTAATATTCTTTTTTCTTTTAATTACATGTTCCTAATTAAAGTAGTCTGGATCAAACGGTTCAAGCGGTTGATAGATTTAACTCTTAGAGAGGTAGGTGACTGTCAGCTGAACAAAAATGAAAGAAAAAAGGAAAGGAGGATGCAACGTTCACTGGTAATGATGACAGCAACAAAAACGTCAATAGCAACGCTTCTCCCCAGCCCTTTTGGATCTCTTTCTCTATTATCTCTATGATCTCTCTCTCTCTCTCTCTCTGAGAAAGATTTGAGATCTTGTCTCAATCCCCCCCTCATCTCTCTTGATCTCCTCTTTTTTAATAATGCTTCCTTAAAAAAAATTAAGCAATTTTTTATTGAACCACAAACCGCTGCCGGATCAAACAATTTAGTGGTTTGACCGCACGGGCAGCAGTTCTCTGACCAATTCAACATTTTTTCCCAAAAAAGCAGTTCAGTCCGAAACCAGACTTGGAGACATGACCTGTTCCTGGGTCAAACTGTTCGACTGCCCAGTCTGGTCCGGTTTTCAAAACAGTAGTTCAAACAACACTAGTTCAATTTTCAGACAGAAAATAGCTTATAAACCCTAGTCAACATCTATGTATTGATTTCCTGACCTTAGAGAATCATGTACATACAAACATACACTATTTGTCGACCAGCTCCATCTTACCCTCCATCCACCCCTTGGTCTAGATTTTCTTTTTATTCTCCTGTTTTGAACACCCCCTTAGAACCTCACTTTCTCCAGTAGACAGCCATAAAGCCCACTAGTCCATTACATTTTCATTGCAGGCCTATATCTCTTAACCCTACAGCTTTTCACTACCCACTCTCTTCTTATCAAGAATAAATCAGAAAGACATGTTCTTGCCAGGTACGTACGCCTGCAATGGACTCCATGAATAGCAGTACTTGTACTTCAGACTTACAAACTGGAATTTTACAGGAAACCCCTAGAAATTAGCCATACGTGATCCCATAGCCACTACCTATTTCTTCCTAAAACAAACTCTTCAATCAGTTGGTGACTTGTCAATCATCAGTTTCCCTCTCTGGCATCAGAAACTTAACTCCGATGATCATCAGATTCCAGCACTTTCCGGAATCTGCTGCATCAAATTGCCTGGTTCAGCCATCCTCATTGGAATGTTATTCCAATAAACTCGACATGTTCGCATTACACATAACATTAAAGTTGTTAAGTGACAAGTGACAACTAGTTGCCCTTGATATCCTATATACAAGTTAAAATATTCAGGCTGTACTGTCGTTTACCAACTTGTTCACCTGCATTCCAATGTTGTCTAATCAATCATCGAGTTTTCTTGCTAATGACCTAATGGAGGCTTTTAAAAGGGTTACTTATTTATTACTTTTGTAACTGAATTTTTTACTTTGAGGTGGGTGTTGGGAGACAAGATCCTTAACCAAACTGCAAGCAACTCAGGCTGTGTTTGGTTTGATAAACAGAAAGTTGAGGGAAAGTTATAGAGGAATTTCAAAAATTTTTTTTAAGAATTTTCTCTTAACTTTCTGTCTGTCTTATATTTTTCAATCAACTTTCTGCAAGCAACTAGTTCATGATTCCAATAATTTTCTTGCTGTCCCTATACATGCCAATAGTACTTCAAGTGTGATGTTTTAAAATATACAATTTGTCCAACACAAAGGAAAAGAGAAGAAATAAAAAAACACCATGGACAATTTAACAGTCATTAATAGAGTATTTTAGTTGACATAAAACTAAAGACATGAAAAAACCATGTCTCATGGCAAAGTATTTCCACTAATAGAAATCCTTCACATTCTGCTCACAGAAATATCAACTTAACATTAGTTTGGCTAAAAGCAAAGGAAAGCATCACTCTCAACTTCCAAACATCAAAAGTATTTTAGCATTCACCCCATAATTTGTTTCTAGCCAACATGCTCAAATTTATTTTCTAATGTTAAAAGAGTCATGTGGTAAAGGACATTAGAATTGGTTGGGGATTGAAATATCATATTGTAAATATGAAACCAAAGTTCATTTAAGACACACAAGATACTTGAAGACTGGTTGCTTGGTTAAGTACTAATTGTGGAAAGTCACACCAGTTTCATTAAAATAGAGAATTATGTTGGATTGTATCTCTGCCGACATGCATGTTGGAAACTATCAACTTTAACCATGTGATTATAGAAAAAAAATATTTGCAGAAATTGAAAGCATTCATTGCATGAATACATCCCCCAATCCTGTTAACAATTCAAAATGTATACATGCTGCCTTCTCCAGTAAACACTTTAAAGTGCAAGCAGATCGACAATGTGAAAGACTAACCTATGAGAGCTAACACATTCTCCAGGGCCTTCATCTAAGAACCCCTTCTTCCAACCTTCAGGATCCTCTTCCTTTGATGGATGATGATAGTGGAGAATTCAACTGATATTTCTATATTCAAAAGTATAAGAAATTTATAACTATGAGATTCTGGCTCCCAGGTTTTAGAAATCTGTGAAGCTCAAATAAATGAAATACCATCAGCTTTGCTTTATTTCTTGGAGCATCTCCACAACCTTCTTCATTTTGGGCCGTTTGGCTGGTGTGCTATCCGTGCATAGCAAAGCGACCTTCAGAACTGCAAGCATCTCCTTCCTCCAAGCAAAGGAGACTGTGCTCAACCTTGCATCAAGTATCTGTTCTGGGGTCTCTCCTCTTGCTGGAGCTCCATGAACCCATTTTACTAGATCTATCCCTTCACCAAAGGCCTCATCAACTGGTAGTCGTGTTGTAAGAATCTCAAGTAGCACAACTCCATAGCTATAAACATTTCCTGGTGCTGTAACTTGCATGGTGTATGCATATTCTGATTGAATAAAAAGTGTCAAGGGAAAGAAAACAATGGATAACCATATGCATGAAATATGCAATAGTTTTGAAGCAAGAAAAGAAAGAAAAAAAAAACAAAAAACAAAAAACAAAAGGAGAATGTAAAGTGTATTTTAACATGTAGGGTACCTGGGGGAATATAACCAAATGACCCTGCCACTGCACTAATACTTGCAGTACCCTTTGATGGATCCAAGAGCCTTGATATCTCAACCTCCCCAACCAAAGGCTTGGAATTGGCATCTAACAATATGTTACCTGAGGAGATATCAAGATGGATAATGGCCACATGATGAAGGAAAGACAACCCTTGTGCTACTCCTATAGCAATGGAGAACCTTGTTGGCCAGTCTGGTTCATATTCAGCTTTCAAACTGGAGTCATGAAGTAGCTGAGCTAATGTGCCACCTGGTAAGTACTCATGCAGCAAGAGAACAATGTCTTCATAGATTATGAAACCCACAGGCCTCATCAGATTCTCATGGCAGAGTTTGCCCAGCCTTTCGAGCTCTCTAATCATCTTGTTCTGGTGATGAATTACTGCTTTGTCTATAGACTTAAGTCTCTTTACTGATAGAATTAGCCCAGATGGCATAACTGCCTTGTAAACAGTACTGAAAGTTCCTGTGCTGAGCTTATTTGAATCCTTAAGAGTTGTTTTAACGGTAGCATCAAAATCTATTGCCTGCCTGAGGTTCTCAACAAAGACATTTCCTGCTATTATCAACGGTGGGTTAGCAGTTACATCATCTGCAATTCCTGCAGCAAGCTTGGCAGCTTTTTCTTGCTTCTCCCTCATCATAAACAGTACAACAACAATTGTTACAGAAACAAACACTGTCAAACCAGAACCAATCACAACTAAAACGATCTTATATGACACTTTGTGATGGTAACCTTCACCACTAGGACCAAAAGAACCCCCACAGGAGGAATTTAAAGGCTCTCCACAGAGCCCTTTATTACCTGAGAAGCTTGACTGTGGGCTCTTTTGGAATGGTGCAAATGTTGGTAATTGGCCTGTGAGAAGATTATTGGAGAAGTTAACCTCAATCAAGCTCATCATGCCCTTCAGTGCAGATGGGATATTCCCAGAAAGCTGATTGTTAGAAACATCCAACGAAACTAACTTGTCCAGTTTCCCCAATTCAGAAGGTAAAGGTCCGTGAAGATGATTGAAGCTCAAGTTGAGAGCTATCTGCAAATTCTTAATCCAACCAATCTCTGGAGGAATACTGCCAGTCAAATAGTTGCTGCCCATTTGCAACTCTAACAGTTTTACACAATTTCCAATCTCATGAGGTATCTCCCCTCTTATTGAATTCTGGCTCAATAGAAGGAATTGCAATCTTGCTGTGTTGCAAATGTCTTGTGGTATGGTTCCATTGAATCTGTTATTGCTTAGATCAAGCTTGTTAAGGTTCTTGCACCTAAGAAGGGACTTGGGAATGTCTCCAAAGAGACTGTTACCAGAAACAATGAATTCCTGCAGGTTCATAAGCTCTCCAAGCTCTGGAGGAATCATCCCCGTAAACCCATTAAAGGCTAAATTCAGGAGGGTGAGGTTAGAGCATCGAGAGAACTCTGGAACAATCTCACCTGAAAGATTGTTATAATCCGCTTCAAAATATGTAAGGCTACTCACATTACCAATGGCTTTAGGAATATTTCCTATAAGTCTGTTGTTCCCAATTCGGATACTGGAAAGGCCTTTGCAGTTCCCAACCAATTCAGGAACATTCCCAGTCAACTTATTCATTGTCAGGACCAAAACTTCCAGCTTCCCCAAAGCAAAAATGGCCTTTGGTATAGGCCCTTCAAGGTAGTTTGAGTGAAGGTTCAACAACTGGAGCTCAGATGAAGAGCCTAAATTTTCTGGAATTTTACCACTTAATTCATTCTCGTAGGCTGTAAAAACTTTCAGATTGGATAGGTTGGCCACCCATTTAGGGATGGAACCATTCAATTTATTTCCAGAAATTTGGAGATCATGTATACCTTTCAGATTCTGAAGGTCATCAGGTATTCTTCCAACAAGAAAGTTATTGGAGAGGTTCAATGACCGAAGGCTTCTGATGTTTCCCAACTCAGGGGGAATCGAGCTTCCAAACTTATTCCACGATAAGTCAAGAAACTCGAGCTGGGACAGATTCCCAAAGGCTGGAGGGATTGGTCCATTAAAGTTATTGTAAGAAAGGTCAAGCCACTTTAAAGCTTTCAGCTCAGAGGCTAAACTTATATTACCTCGGAGCTCAAAGTGAGAAAGATTAAGCATTTCCACCGAAGACCCGTTGGAGCTGCAGTGTACACCTGCCCAAGTGCAGTAATCCGATTCATTAGAACCCCATCCAGGTACTGAGAGCTCTTCCTTAAGTGCCAACATTGTTGATCGATCATCCTTCTGTGCAACCACCAACTGGGTTCTGTACAGAAACCCAAGCAGGAAAAGAGAAAACCATGGAGAAAAGGCCATTGCAGGTTCTCTTCCTTGTAGAACACTTCTTGCTCAACAGTGTTTAGAACATACCATGAGAATGAACATGAAGAGATATATCATTTCCCAAAACAAGGAGCACAAAAGTAATCAGCAAGGCATAGATCCTGCACAGAACTCACTCCCTCAGGGCCCAGTGAGACCGGCGAATGCCTGAACCAGTCCTAACTAAGGCCTGACATTCACCACTAGCTCCCTCTTTTCCATCCAAAAACAATGACTCCGTCAAAACAACCTTCTCTTTTCTCCAAAGCACTCAGACTTTATGTGAAGAAAGCCTGAACGTCTCGCCACAAATCTCCTTTTTCTTTCCTTTAATCAAAGAATCAAAATTTATGATGTGATGAAACCCCACTTTCTTCTCAAAGAACTTGGTCACTAATCAACAACATCTTCAAGAACCAGAGCTTCCTATGAGAAAACAATTAGGCCTTTCAACCTCCCACAACTTGAATGAAAGCTCTGAAAGACTGAAACCCGAAATGCAATCACCTCCAACTTCAAATCCACACTTAAGTGCAATTTCTCAGTATCCAAGCATCTTAGAAGTCACCCATTTCTTGCTTGCAGAGAAACCCAGACCCACCAAAAGTTCATTATCGAAACTCGAACACTAAACAACTTCTAACACTGTCCATCCAAAAATCAGAAGAAACTTGAACAAACACAAAGACACTCCACTCACAGAACTTGGGTATTCATTAAAACTCCCTCAACATTCACAGAGCTTCCATGATTGATGAGGAGAGGAGAGTACGACGTCCCGGTGCTGGTTTCACGGACCAGATGTTTTTTCCCCAGTTTCTTTATCAAAACGAGAGAGAGAGAGAGAGTAAAAGCGTTTGAAAAGAGATGGTAGGGAAATTCTCCCACGAGAAATGAACAGAAAACAGTCATGAGTCAATGAAACTGCGAATGTCAGAGACAGTCTTAACAGGAGAAATCCAAGGCAAGATGCATTCTAAGACGGTTTTGACCCCATGAAGCGTGTTTGGCAGCAACAAGTACAATGCCTAAGCGCCAGCCGTTAGATTTACAGCATAATTATGTCAGAGAAAATCGAATGGTGCTCATCAATGTCATAATCCAATACCAAATGCTGTGGTGGTATGGCATTGCCATAGATACTGGGGCTACGTCATCGTAATCCTACAAAGGGATTTTGTTTGGGATGTTTTGATATGTTAGGAGTGAGGTCCATCAAATTCAATGGACTTTAGAACCAGGACCATTCATTCATTGAACAATCAAGGTGGGCCACTGGCCATACGGTTACTGCTCATCATAGTTTGGTAGATTTCAAGGTCTTTTTTTTTTTTTTTTTTTTGAGTAAAAGGTCTATTCTTGGTAAGCTGGTGATTCAACAGTCAAGTTCATTACTTGATAAAGGTTGGGATTGAGCATGACAGAGGATGATGGGCTTTTAAGGGTACCACTAAGATCTCTTTTTCACTTTTTGATAAATCATGCATTTCTTTTTCTTTTCTTTTATTGACAATTTCTTTTTAACTCAAGTTTGTGGGAATAGTTCTGAAAACGTATTGACCATTATATGGGGTCTTTTGCTTTTTGTGCTTGTATATAGGGCTGTCAATACTCAATAGATCCGATGTTGCTCCAATCCAATCCAAATATAATCCATTTTTTAAGTGCAATCCAATTAAATTGGATTTTTTAGGTAAAATATGTTATACATTGGATTAGGGGGTGGGAATAGAGCAAGGTGCAAACTTACTGGTGATAGTTGTTTTGTTTAAAAATAAAAAATAAAGGGGCTGTTCACTCCGTTGTTGTTTATTTAAAAACCATTATGTATGGCATTTATCTTTAAAAATGAGAAAATTTGTTGAAAAACTTTTTTTTTATTTTTTAACAGTTAAACATTATTAAGCCTCACGTTAGATGAATAGTGAAAAATGTCTTGGTGTCGGAAAAAAACATTAAAAATAAGCTTTCCTAATAGATGATTCTCATACAAATTAAAATAAATGTTTATTTGATAAAGGATTAAAGCAAACAACATTTCAAATTCTATTAGGGAAAATGCCTATATGGCACTGAAATGTCACCAATTTTCAAATAAGCAATTAGTTAGGGGTGGCCACAAGCCAAGCTCTTCATGAGCTATTCAAGCTCAGCTCATGAAAAGCTGGGCTCGTGAAGCTCGCGAGCCGAGTTCGAATAGCTACATATAATAATAATAATAATAATAATAATAATAATAATAATAATAATAATAATAATAATAATAATAATAATAATAAATTATATATATATAATATTTTTATTTTGATATATATAAATAATTAATTTTTATAATTTTTAATTTTCTAAATATCAAATAATAAATATTTTTTATATATAACTTTTTATTTTTATAAAACATTTTTCTCAAGTCGAGTTTGAGCCAAGCAAAACTCGAGCTTACGAGCTTTTGACTCAAGTCGAACTCGAATTCAAGGTTCTAACTCAAACCAAGCTTAAATCTTGTACTGCCCTAGCAAGCAATTCAAGCTTGGCTCGGCTCAAGTCTACCCTTATAAGCAATAATAAAACCAAACACTATCAAAATCAACCATGTCGTTGAACACCCCTTGAGTCATTAAAATTAGAATTCAGATCCCAATTCTTGAAATTGGATTTGAATGTGCAATAAGCTGATCAATAGGGATGTAACTTGTCAAGTAGGGTTTAAAAGAAAGGGAGGGAGAAAGATAGCCATCAGGATGAAAGGATGATGAAGCTTTGGGTGTGATGTCTTTTTAAATCTGGATTTGACTAAACAATATGTTTATACTTATTTAGAGTAATGTCCACCTCGGACCTCGGATTATATTGAATTCAAACATTCTAGATCAGATTGCTTAATAACCTAATTTTTTTTTGTCAACTGGGATTTAGGACATTCCTAGATATTAGAACTTTCTGTTCATGGGATCATTGTTAAAAAAAATAAAATAATAACAGGGGGAGTCAAAATAAATAAATTTTTAATTGGAGAGGTCAATTAATTTTTTTGAAAACATAGAGGAAGTCAATGAAAATTATGATTAATTTACTAGGATACCTGTTTCTTTTTTAGTTTTGTTTTTCCAATGCGCCTTATAGTAGCTTATCCTACCAACAAACAATTAATTTCACCTAAAAAATTTATTGGGCCCTTAGAAGAAATAGTATTAGGACTACCATTTATTGGTAGCAGTAGTGTAATGCTTATACAATCACAAACTTCAAAGCTGTATTCTATAATCTATAATCCATAGGATTTCACATTCCCCATAGAGTACTCCCAATCAGTTTTTAGGCCTTTGCCTAGAATAAAATACATTTTTAGGAAAAATAATTGCCATATAAGTCATATTTTTTATTAAAAAATTGTTTTTTTAAAAAGTAAAATCATACATATTGACAAATTAAATACCCAATAAATCATACGTATGATATGGAAAAGATATTATATCTGAAAATTTTTTGACCAGTCAATTGGAATCATAAACCTGATAACCAATCAGGTGTTATTTATCAAAATTCATAGATGGGTTTTGATTGATCAAAACTCTTTCCCTATCATATTTTTTCCGCATCATAGATTTTCCCAATTTTTAGTATAAAGCATATCAATACTTTAATAGAATCAAATGATGCTACACAAGACGGTAATAGCACTCCCCCAAAAGTCATTTATGCAAATAAAATAAAGGTCCCTAGGGAGATTACAAAGGTTGATGGAGACATCACCATCAGAAGGAGAATGAGTCTGATTTGCAAACCAATCCGCCAAGTGTATCAATACCTTGAACCATGAGTTGATCAAAATATATTTCTCAGAGCTCTAGTTGGCACAGAAATTTGAAGGACCCTTAAAGACGATCCTACCATCTCTACATCAATGTACTTATGACAAGTAAAATAGTATACCAGTTGAATTGAGAAAGAAATATTTAGAGGATCAAATGATCATAGTCATTTTGATGGGTCTTGTGCCCAATGTGCAGGGCACAAGAGGGGAACTTAGTGTCTTGTCTCAATTATGTCATGAACTTGGGGGACTCAAAAACAACCTAATTGATTTGTCAAAAACATATTAACTTAATAGAACGATCTTAACCATAATAAGCACTGGATCAATAGAGGTCAACGGTCAATAGGGGTATTTCATTCATCGAGCAACTCTAGAGCCCAAGGCATTTTGGTAGGGCCCATCATATTTTGGGCCCTAAATATCCTAAAAAGTTACCATTTTAATAGTAGAAGGAATTTGTAGTAAAGTATTCTCAAGACATAATGGCTTTTTCATTTCTTTTATGCAATTGAGTATTTGGGCATTATATAAAGACATCTAAAAGTCAAATCTCTCGAATGGAGAGAAAGAGATCTCCTACCTAACTTGAACTCAACTAAATAACACTGCAACCATGAATGATGATGAAAACAAAACATTTGTTGTGTGCTCTAAACCTTTTTTTCACCTTTATGTTCTCTTTGAAAAGAACAGTCTGTTCTTTTTAACCTTAAGATGAATTTTTCCTTCTTTCTCAACATGATTCTCTGCACTAGTTACTAAATGAAGCTCTGACCCAAACATATAGTCACATCACAACTAGGGTGAGACCCAATAGAGTTTTGTTAGTCTTAGGGTTAGCTGGAATGCTATTGCATGGAAAATGATTGAGAGAGATGCCCCAGGCCCACATTGTGAGACACAGACTGTAGTCCTTTCTAAATACATTACTTTTTTTCACTGTATTTTTGGTGAACTTTTACTTTTCCCCCTCTAAAAATGAGTAGTCCCAAATCCCAGCTTAACCCTCCTAAGCCCTATTCCCTTAACACCCAAAATTGTTTGGTAAAAGCTGAATTTAGACCCTGTTTGTTTTTCGGGAAATAGGAGGGAAAAGTCGATACTTGGTATGCGAGAAGTTTGTCCATTCTAACAATGGTTTTTTATGGATAAAAAAGTCATTATATAATTTATTATGAATCAAAATAACACGGGTAAACACTTATCTAATAAATGCCAAGTATACTTATTCAAGTAAATGCATTCCTCTGAAAAATTAATGGAGCCTTAAGAGTACTTGATAATGGATGAAGTGGCTGAGCTGAATGACTTCTTATATTGTCTTTTAAGAAAAATCCATTAAGTAGGTTGTGAGCTCCTTAATGATTGAATAGCATACTGAACTGAATGACTTACTGCATTGTCTTTTAGAAAAAAGCCATTAAGCAGGTTATGAGCTCCTTAATGACTGAATGGCATACTGAACTGAATGATTCGTTGAGTTTACTATTACTACTACACCCATGAAAATATTGTAATATAATTATTTTATCCGAAATAAGTTTATTCACTGAAAGGTAGTGCTATGGAATTCTTGCTATACCTGGATACAGATAAGAAAAAGAGGACAAGCATCGGGTCCTTTTTATTGACTGAAGTGTTCATGGTGCATTGTCCTTTTGCATATGCTGATATGCATTGACGATAAGGAGAACAACAAGTAGTAGAGGTTTGCAAAACAGATCGAATCAAATCAGACATGCTTTGATTTAGATTTCATTCATTAATATTTGAATTCGAATTGAAATCTTATCTTCATTTTAGAATCTAGATATCAGACTTGGATTGAATTCAGATATTAAAATGAAATGACCACAAACATTATATGCTAATAATAAAATAAACTAATAATGAATTTGATAGACATGAAAATAACTTTTATGAGACCAATTGATGGTGGCTTAATTGATAAGTTCTCAAGCTTGTTTTAGCAAAAATTGGGGTCAAATAAGATTGAAAATATCAATAAGCACTGGTAGAATCTGTTGACCATAGTACATTTCTGACCGTGTTTACTCAATCACACATATGAAACATTGGTTGTGTTGTGGTCACAGATGTTCTCAA